CAATGATATTACGCAGCGCCTGAAAATAATCCCCAGCTAGGTAACTTCCAATAAGCCTATTTTCAGGTGCTGAGTAATATCATTGCACCTGCTGCACCCATGGTACGGCGGCAAAGTTCCTTGATTATTACTTGATTATTAATGCAACTTTTCATTTTCCGTCGGTCTTAGTACACGATGTAACTACAGAAGAGTCAAGTTTTAAATAGGAAAAATATAGAAACTCTTTGGTCATTTTTGAGCGAGATGCTAACGGTCTAATCAGATTCAATGATCTATGCTAAGCTACAGCTAAAAGTGCTACCGCCAGACCCGGAGATCGGCTGAATGGATTCGAAAACGGTAAAACTCAACTGTTTAACTCTAGGGGAGTTGGAAAATGAGCCTATTTTCAAAAATAGTGGAGTGTTCCTTTAAGAATTAATGTAAATGTACTGTTTTTGGCAGTCTTTAGGATAAAAACTGCTGTTATAAGGGGATATTTTTGTTCATTGTGAAAGTGTCGATGTTTGTAAATGATGAATATTTTGTATATTCATATAAAGTCCTGGTTATATAAATGTATACTATATTAAATATATATTTATTACTACAATATCGTAATAATTGATAAATCAAGAAATATGCTGCAAAATTACACATCCTTAATGTCAGCGTGTGTTCTCTCATGTCAAGTAATAATTGTATTGAATGTGTATGGTGGAACACTAGAATCATAGCACTGCTATTGCTTGTTATGTCTATTCAGACACTTTTTTTTTTAGATATTTGTGTTTACATGGAACTGTATCTTTCGGAATTAACTGAAGTTTACTGCCAGTAATTATCAGCAGTGCTAGTTCAATGTCTTTTGCTAGATACCCAGCTAACAGGAAACATTCTCAGGACGTTGGCGTTCAAACATTCTTAGAAAATTCCAGTAACTACTAAAATGTTCATTCAGAGTTATTTGGTCTTTAATAATGTTCTCAAAACATCAGCACAAAAACATCCTTCATGGAGTGTTTTTTTCCCTGAAGCATTTTAGTTGGATGTTCATGTAACATTTTTTATGTTACTACTTGTTTCAGAATTTTCAGAGAACATTCAAAGGTAACCAGTTTCCAGAATGTTTACAAAATGATAAAACAGAATGTTTACTTAATTGAATGTTTTGAACATTTAGAGCTCTTTCAGAACGTTACTTAATGTTATCATTAGCAAAACATTCTTTGAACATTTTTCTGTTAGCTTGGTACTTTATTAGGCTAGATAAAAAACAGAGACTTGGGTCTTTATTGATCCTGTGAAAACATTTTTTTAAGATTTAGCCTGAACTTTTAGCAGTTCAATGGACTGTTTCATAAGGCTAAATTAACGGATCTCAAAAATGAACATTGAGAATACAGTGTATTTTCATTTTTATTCCCTCATTCTTCCTCATGAAACAGCCCTTTGATTTGAAGAATGTACATGTATGCAATACTAAAGAGATTAATCAGTTGAGAACGTAATGCACAGACATTTATGATGTTTTTTAACAATATAGTATCTGCTGAGATTATTCACAAAGTACAATGAAATTAATATATAGATTTTGGATTTATCTTGGCACCCACAGTACTTGATATATTTTCACTGTACGTAATTCGAGAGTCAGACCTATTCTTGTGGCTTCATGCAGTATTGTTTGTTTGTTTGAAAGTGGAGGTAACTAAATGTATTGTTCTAATTGATACGCAGTGATACTGGTTCTTTGTTTTATTGATCTAATGTCATGAAAGAGTGTGTGGTCATTCAGGCAGTAACCGTCCGAGTCAGCGTTGAGCAGTTTGTATGGGTGTATTGCCTTTGCATGCTAGAGTGTATCTGTGCAGATTTGTTACTATTCAATAAATGTACAAGTCTTCAACCTGCTTATGTGATTGATTTACATTTATTTTAAACACATATACAATGCTGTAATTCCACTGCTTTATTCCTATCAGGGGTAGTGGTCATCGTGACTTGTTCTTTTCTCATTTTGATCTTAAGAATCTTTCCATTTAGGAAATTGTAGGGAAAAATAGCACACAGGAGGTGACGTTGCAGCTGTAGTTTCCCTTCAAAGTTGGCTGCACAGTTACTGTCAGAGTCTGTAAAAATCTGCTTAGCAGCTGAACTGTTAATAAATGTTGTGGAATGAGATTCATAATAATAATGCTAAAATGTTAGCATTTTTAAGGGAAAATTGGGTGGTTTTGCACAGCATCCATCATGCACATAGGTAAAATGGGGTGCTTAGGTATAGTAACTGTGGACATGCAGGAAATGCCAACTGACGATAAACTTTTATGTTGGTCAGTGAAAACAGATCTCGGTAGTATGCAAGTATGAAGTAGAACTGTTCTACTGTTAAAAAAGTTGAGGTCAAGGTTTTTTGTTTGGTGGGTTTTTGGTTTTGTTTTTAAATAAATTAATACTTTAATTTCTCAAGTATGCATTAAATTGATCAAAAGTGGCAGTAAAAATATTTATAATATTACAAAAGATTTTTATTTTGAATAAATGCTGTTATTTTAAAAATTATATTTTCTTTAAAGAATCCTGAAAAAAAAAATGTTGCGGTTACCACAAAAATATTAAGCGGCACATTTGGATTTGGGTCATGTGACACAGAAGACTGAAGTAATGGCTGCTGGAAATTCAGCTTTGCCATCACAGGAAGAAATTATATTTTATAATGTATTCAAATAAAAAACGATTTTTTTATTGTAAAATTTCAAAATATTAGTGCTTACTAACCCCAAACTTTTGAACAGTAGTGAAAATGGCCATTGAGCATATTAAAACCCAATGTGGATTAATAATTAAAGTTAAAAAAAAAAAAAAAACTGTCCCTGAATAGGTTATTCCAAAGAGCCTTTATAAATCAGCCTTGAATTGTATATTGTTGTTTCTCTGTCACCTTTATTCCCTTTTCTTAATATATTACTAGGAAGTCCATGACTGCAGGTCAACAAAACCTTTTAGGATTCTCAGCACAACAGTCACATAAACATCACCTCTACAGTGAAAAGCATATCCAGGAACATAGTTCAAATGTGTCAAAACATTATTCATAATATTATTTACATCCTTAGTATTGACATCCAAAGTGTGGTGAGGCAATATGATCAAAATCATTGAACAATCAATATGTGAGATCATCCATATAGTTTACACCAAAACATCTTCATCAGTCCAAAGAAACCGTTTGAAAATTGTCCGCTTTGTCGCTCCTTTGTGGCTGAGACTCGCCAGGTTCTTGTGTGCTGACTCTTCCGAGTCTGAACTTGTCTTTCCATCTCTGTGTTCCTGCAGGTGATGGAGACTGGGGGATCGGGACAGAGGCATGCATCAGGGAGGAGCAATCCGGTTTGGGAGGAAGGGGCTTATTTGAGCGCCGCAGAACACCGAACCCTCTAGACTTCTTCTGAGCCTGTTCTTCCTGCTGCTGTCTGAGGAGCTGGTGATGAAGAATTGTCTGTACGTCATCCTGTAAGA